GTTGACAAGTCCTAGGCGAGGTGGAAACTGCAGTCAACCATGGATGAGAACACCTTTCGGGAAGGCAAGACTATGCAAAATTCAATGGAAACGTCAGCTATTCTCATATCATTGTGGGAAAAATTAACTACCAGCCCGTCATCACCTTAAACGAAATAGGGCGAATACAACTCATTTATCTGATTTACTGGTAGTTTCGAAAACCTACTCACTTATCATGAGTAAAGAGCCCTTAGATCTAGGGTTCACGCGACTGTCCTCGAATACTAGCGCGAATAAGAAGAACAATAAGTAGAAGAGGTTAGGTGAAGAGAAAAATAGAAATTACGGTGAAGATTTGGTTGAACGAAGTGGACAATAATATGTAGAAATACAAGAAAATAGCGAGGATGTAAGAACAAGGGTTGACAGAAAAGCCAGCTTTGTATAAGAGGACAATAATAGATCTCTGGTCTAGGCTTGTAAAAGGCAGCCAGCCTTCATCCCAAGGTAGAATTATAACAGCTACGTTTGAGAAGGGAGAGGAAATAAATCATGTCTCCTGCATGAGTTTCCTTGACCAGCATCCGCCCGTACAGCAGATGCAGCGCTTCCTGTCTGACAAAAAAACAACCAAACACGCCAATGAAATTTAATCAGGCTTAAAGCCTAATTTCGCTATTGGTAATACCAATATCGCCACTACTGCTTATATTCCAGATAGCCCCTTCATAAAGAGAATGATTCATTACTTTTGACAACCCTACACAAAATAATGTTTACCGAATTAACAAAATTTATCGACAAATTTGTATCAATGTAGCTACCGACGGCAAATGGATAGAGGCAAAGTTTTTATAAGTGACAAAAAAAGCAGTTATACAGGCTTTTCGAAATTCAGATAACAGAATATAAAAATATACTACAATTTATCCATTTACCAATAAAGTTTGTTCCCTTTAAAATTTAGTTTGCAGTATACATGATAGTTACTTGTGGTTACACACGTGCTGGCATAAGATAAGAGACAATTTGTGTAACAAGTTTACCCATCAGAATGGCGAGGGGTTTTAAATAGTGCCGTACGGCAAAGATAGTCTAATGGAAACACAACTTTGGTGCAGTGGTGTCTTTAAGATTACTCAAAGAGATATACATTTTAGAATAAATTCTATCCTTGCATGCATTTTCCAGGATTCCAGGCTACCATATATACCTTGGACCTTTCATGTGTAAAAAATAAGGACCTTTTATCTATTCCTACTCTAACTCTATGGCTAGTTAGAATCCATTTTATCCAAAAAAGATATCTATTTATTGATAAACAGGGTAGTTATGGTCCAAGTTAATGCTTACTTTAGCTTCGTCTATAACAAAACACTCAATTATTGTAAGTATGTGCCCCAGGTGTGGCTTCCAATGCAAGCTAGGTCTTTCCAAATCCACATTTTAATGGTAGTAGACATGTCGATAATTACCAAATACATAGTCAATAGGCTTCATTTATATTGTGAGGTAGTCTACTAATTCAACTTTGAGACAGCAGTTTCGATCCCCAACGAGATTCGAACTTGAATGGGTTGAGAGGTCGAAATGTCACCTATTCTGCAACACGATCCTAGTCCCACTAAGCAACAAAAAAGTGTGATTGTCAAGGCGAAGCAGTCTTAGATTAAAATCTTCTGTGGAGAGAATGTGTGCTTGCTTTTGACTGAAGTGATTTTGGTGGCGGGAATCAGAAATATACTTATTGTAAAGATATACTTTTGTAATCAATTGCAACAGTAGATGAAAGGGATTCTAATCACAACGAACTGAACCTTAATGCAAGATCAAGATTTAGTAAGCATGCCTTCAAAACTACCAGTAGATCTTGAATATGAACTATAGTCACTCTATATCGCTCAAGGTAATCGGGGACTTTTAGGTGAGTATTATAATTAAGACTTCATGATGCCAGTGAATTTTATTAAGGCTTGCCTCCAAAAAGGCGTTATCAAGGATGGACTGCAGTTTTGAGGGAAAATTCAACTGCAATCCATCCATCGTCTAATGCGACCCAGGAGGACTACAGTTCTTATTCCCAATCAAAACGTATCTTTATCTATTATTATGGAGACTGGTTTTATGTGAAGTAACAATATCCATCATATTATGGACGAAAAACCGGCCTATATTCACTCACAAAAAGAATATAAGTCTCGTGTACTGCATCAACAAACAACTTGAACCAGCCATCGCCTTCTGGTGAGACCGACCATTGAATCTTTTCATATTACACTTTCATACAAAATGAAAGTGCTCATAGCAATGCTATCTCAAGAGATTTATCGAAACCTAGCCACTCTTAATACGTCTCTTTATTTCACCGTGGGATGAATTGCTATCAGACCCTTCAGTAAATATGACATGAATATGCAATTTGTGCATTTTGGTAATAATCAGCTTTTTGATAGCCATTTTTCCTATGCACTCAATTCAAAAGGACGATGAACTAGCGTATTACAATTTTTAAATGAATTCCTTAGCTGAATAGCTAAGCACCCCATATAAAAGTGTATCTACTGCGACCCCACATTAATGAAAAACATAACTCGAGTTACATCGAGTAAGTAGACAAAATAGCAGATAAAGTAATTCTTAAAATTACCATATCTGCATCCCGGTGACTGGAATCGTAACGGCCTTGACATTGTTGATCCTGTTTAAGTTGAGGCTGTTGATGACGATGATCACAGTGATGCTGATACCGACAGCTCTGCGACCCATCACCATTGGCTTGCTGAAGAGATAAATCAGTTTCGGCTTGCTCATTCGAGTTGATTACTTGAAGAGCCAATTGACATGGGGATGAAGAATCGGTAGGCAAGGCTACCGAGAAAAGAGTGTTATTCGTAACCTCGTAAGAGGCAGGAGGTTGTGAAGATTCTAAACAAGTAGATGAGATGATTTATAAGAAAAGGTTTAATGTTGAAAAGAGCAGAGAATTTATGGGAAATTTATTAGTTCAAAAAGCGTTGTATTGTGGCC